ATTAGTTAAGTTACTACGTACGTACTTACGTACTACGTAGTACGTACTACTACGAAGAAACAAAAAAAAAAAAGAAACAAGCAAAAACATATGAATATACCACTCACATGGATTGAGAATGCATCAATTGTTTCTTCAAACTTCATCAATTTCATCAATCAGCTTGGAACCAGCAAATTATTGAGAAATCTAATGGACTTATTGAACTAGCTGTATTGCTATGACATCAACATATTTCAGCTAAAATCAAAGAAGGTGCTTCTGAAAATCACCAATACACTGATGTCTAATATTACTTCCATCATTAGTACTTTCAAGTTTTTAATGTAATAAGAGCAGATGTCATCAGGCAGTTTCATCAGAAAAACTTCCAGACAGTTCAAGATAGGGAAAACTTTTCATCAGTGAGAAAATTTTTCAACACCAGAAACACTCTCATTGCTCTATAAAAATAATGTCGACTTAATGAAGCTACAATCGCAACTACATGCTCTATCAGACCTCTTCAAGACATCCTTTATTATTTATCTATTATTGGTTGGTAATTTCTGTTTCACCCTGTACTTAAGCTTTTTAAAGAAATGCCAAGTTTTTGTAAGAAAGCTAACTTCAAAGGGTAATGATAATATTGTTTACACTAGAATTATGCTGTTTGTCAAGTGTTCAATCAAATTTCTGCAATAGTTAGCTTCAATAAAATTATACTTTTATTACTATTAGTTATTAATAATACTTATACAAGTGGATACTCTGAAACTATGTCACCTCAGTGAAATGGACATCACTGTTTTTGATTTTTGAGTTATCATGTAATAAAAAAAGTGGAAGAAAGAACAACAATAATTTCAAACATTTTGCTATGATAATTGCAGACATTGCGAGAACTTGTGACGCAGTCATCACATGGATATTGTTATAAAAGGAAATACTATATAGTATTGTACATTTCTGATCGCCTATTGAGGAGATATTTAAGATACCATTTCGATGAACAATCCGAGCCATCCCTACATAGGAAGTGCTACTACCTGTCTGATAGCACCAACACTTTTACATAGTAAAAGCCCAGTCTGGGATCAACAGACAAGAACAACTTAACTACAAGCTATACCAGATACAGCCAAACATACTGTTTAGGTTAACAGATTGATCATCTAAGAGAAAGGACAGTCTGTTATTAAAGTTTAAATAACACAGAGATGTCTAGTTACCAGCGATAAGCAGGGCTGATCAGTATAAAGTCCTGCACCAAGGAGTCTTCTTAAACCTAGAAGAGTATTTTTACACCATGTTGGCCAAGGCACACCCACCTTAATAGATGGTAGCCCCTTTGTCACTTATCTGTCTTGTTAGGATACACAGAGCTAGGAATAAGAGTTCTGAAAAGTAAGTGGTTAATGTATTGCCTACAAACAATGATGCATTAAATAACAGCACCCATATGGGTGTCCACTGGAGAAAAGAGAAACAAATATTGTGCTCTCAGCAGAGGACCTCAACTGTCCAGCAGAAGGAGTAGAAGAAAGAAACAGGGTTTAAATGTTGAGCTTGTAAATAACACACATGTAAAAATGGATATCAGACTCTGCTAATCTCACATTATAATAATTTACTGGAGGTCAGAAGAAGCAAATACAATCTTAAGAAGCTCTATGAATTTAATGAAATCATACTATTCAAAGAACAAACTCTCAGACTGTGGAGTGCACTCTATCTAGTTTTAACTTCCTAACACATGCTGAATCAAGAGGCTAGATTGTTCATTGCAGTTTGACAAAACAAAGCATCCACAAAGAACATTATGACCACTAGCTTTCAATGCAAAAATCACCATTGCAAGCTACTAGTCATCCAGATAATTTGCCCAAAATTCCCTACACATATCCAAATCACCAAGTACAACACAATACATTATGGTGAAGATGGACGGTTCCTGCCTAAACTATCTTGACCAACCGAGTAACCACAAAAAAAAAAAATTAAATATATCTAATTTACCCTTTTTCTCTTTATAGAATAACTTCACATTGTAACATGAAACTACCTTCATTTATTCTAAGTAGCTTTAAACTTGTAACAGTATACATATCTTTATAATAGAATTTTATTGTTTTATTGCCCTTTTGAACCATGTCTACCCACTATTCGTGTCATTATAAGTTGTACATCACTTGGGGAACTTAGAGGTTACGTTACACTATTTAATTACATTACACACGAGCTGCTCGCATGCATGCCTTATGAAGCATTTTTATTATATTATTATTTATTTTACCTAATCTAACCTTAAATTACCTAAAGAGATCCCTATTTTTACATTTTAGTTACTTTTATAATAATATATAAAAAATAAACAAGAAAAACATGAAATAAAGCACATACCCAAATCTTTTTTTATTGCTGTCGATTGTCGATGACACTTAACCCTACTTTTTTTTATAATAATGGTAGTAATGCACAAAATAATATCTATTTAATTAAATAATGCACCAAAGAACATAGCATAATAACATGCAAAAATCAGACAATTTCTTTTAACTATCATAATTTTTCTGGCTTTTTAACCATGCGACAAGAGCCATTATAAATTCATCCATTAGAGTCATTATCTTTTCCTTGGGAATGAAGCTTGTACTAAAAGAGAAGTTGACAATTCTCTGTTTAGAACACAACATAATCTAACATGTCATTTGATAGATGAAAATCTTGGCTTTCTATTGGTTACAGATAACATATAATTAAATGTAAGAGAGAACTATCAAAGACATGTGAAAAAGAGGATGTGACAGGTAGGTGTGGCAAGAGGGATCTGATTTTCTATTTGACAGCTCTGTAACCAAACAAAATTGAAGGCTATAAAAAATATGATTCGTCTGAGCAATGATGATGTTATAGTGAGTAATTGACATTGAATTTCATACTTATTTGAAGGGTGGTGGATTAAATAGAGAAGATGAGATGCCTAGAGAAAATATGTCACATGTGTCACACTATGGGGAATTCAGGATTTTTTTAAATCTTGCCTTATAAAATTAAGAACTTAAAACTTATATACTATCAAAATGTGGATTATTAGCTAAGATTTTATGCTATACTAATTGGTATAACATAAACAAAAAGTAGATTAATAAAATTTTGAATGCAAGTCACTAAAACCTTGTGTCGTGTTCAGCAAAGGTGATAGGGTTTAAGGTCACTGAATTATCATCCTAAAGACATCATTAGCAAGAGAAGATAACTGCATTCACCGATTTGTTGTAGTTAGTTGTTGCCTATGGCGATGTTGCATTTTTTATCTGTGTTTTGCTGATAAAAAGTACATTTTTGAATTTTTTTCATTCAAGGTTTGTTACTTTCATAAAATGTGATAATCTGTACTGCCTTCCATTTACCACTTTACTGAATATTTTAAGTAAATTAGCTATTGAAGTTACTATAAAATTAGTTAGTACATGTAATTATAATATTACTTCCAGCTTTTACTGAAGATGAAATAAGTGTATTCTGAAATGTTTGAAGCTTTTGTAAATAAAATTGTTTTGTGTCTTATCAACAGTCTTCATCTTTATTATTAGTTTGGTGATTATTTGGATACCTTTATTGTTAAAAAATTGAAGGAACTCAGCTGGTTTGTGATCACAGCAACAACACAGGCTTTGTTCTTTGGGTAGCTTCATGATAATATCCTTGATTTACTTTGACTTAATGCTATGTTAGCTGATCCAAATCTAGACTATATTGAAAAAGATAACCATGTCTGAACATACTCAGCCAATCTCTCCAGTATTTTATTCTTATCTTTTTCTCTTTTGAAACTATGCCCAGTTCTGTTCTGCACTTTTTTTGGTCTTAGTTCTTTTGCAATAATGGACTTTGATACTTAAACTTCTCTAACTCCTTAAATAACTGATCTAAATAATCCCCTTTACTTTCCTAGAGTTTCTGCACCTCACTTGTAGATGTATTTCCTTCCTCTGTCCTCACATTTTAGAAAAGGGATACAGACTGAACATACAGATGCAACAGATAATACAAATGCTAAAAATGTTTTTAGAAAGGCTATTAATTGCCAGTACATGAAAGTCAGCTATAAGCTGCCAATTAAATGATTAAAGAATGAATGGTATAAACTGGACAATGTGATATCTATAAAAAGGGTAAAGACTACTATGGATAATATTCTACGCAAATATATACAGTGAAAGGTAAAGTCTGAATATCTGAACAAATTACAGAAAATGTACAAAAAAACTTTAGAATTCATATCAAAACAACCAAAAAAACACAGAAGTGGATTTCTTGTCAGTATCATTAGTCCATGCTTTCACTTAAGCCACAAAATACTAAATTTCTGGCAATGTCACAAGTAATTATATTAGATATAATTTCATTTCCACTATTTGATAATTAACACCTTACTAAAAAAGTTCATTCTTTATAGTATTAAATGTGATTCAACTTTTTCATATACCAAAGCTCAAATACATTAAAAAAGTTATATATCATACTAGTTTCATTTGCTCAACACTGTAAGACATAAATCAAAAAGACCAAAGATTACACATACAAGAGATTTTGAATCTTCTAAATGATTTTCACCAGAATTCAAGATCAGTTAGTCAAGGGAAACCATTTATGCAAAAAGATATGTAGTAATAACTGTTCCTAAGTATAAGTTTTATTTATTTAAATTTTCTATCAAAATAATATCTAGAACAAAAACAGCAGACTGTGTAATATTTTTAATATATGGAATGTGATGTACAAAAAATTATCATAAAAAAACACTTACTCCATCTAAAGTTGACACTTCTTTTGCTAATTGTTCTGTGAAAGCTTCAGCATTACAGATGGCAAACTCACACTGAGCCATCAGTTTCTCCAAATCAGCTTCTTCCCGAGAACTAAGTGCTTGGTAATCTTCAACTTCAATAGCCCCTTCCACTAGATGATGTGCTGGTGCCCCTCCCTCACTCGTACTTCCTGTTTCTGGTGAAAGAGAACATAAATGTAAATACACAATCACTTGTTTCCTCAAAAGTAAAAAATTTCCACCACATCATTTAATGCAATATCATACACTCAGCCCTTGAAGGAACAATAAGCTAGGTTTCCAACTCTGTTAGTGCATAAGATATTAAATGATTACATAACATGAAACTGAATAAATCAAAACAGTCAACTGCTTTATTTTACCTTCTCAAAAAATTCAACATTGTGAAAATGTGAAAGATAAATGAGCAAAATATGAAAGGTCTTTTAATATTTTAAGAAGAAAATTATTTTTTCTCACTACAACTATAAGCCAAAATCAATTTTTCTATTTCTTCCAAAAACGTTATGTTACACAGTGCAATTCAACACAAGCACCTCAGTAATTTAGAAGAAACTGTTGTGTAATAAGAAAAAGGAGTCATTAAAGAACAGTACCACATACCACAGCAGATAGAATTGTAGATCCTTGGAACAAAATATGATGTAACAGATAATATGAACAATGCTACTTCTTTAACCAAATACAGTCAAAATAAAAAACAAAAGAAAATAGCTGTAACGATACTTCTCTTGAAAATCACAAAAATATTTACTTTCTCTGAAACTACAGATGGAAAACTACATATAGGAATTTTTATGAACACAGAAAATCACTAAAACAAATACTTCAGTAGTGTTAAGTTGACAAAAAAATCACAAAAAAAAGAAATATTTCAACAGCTCTAAGTTACAATTGGGTAGGTATTGCTATTTCTTCACAGAATATACATAGAGCTAAATTTCTGATACAACTAAAAAACATACGAGAACAAACAAAGGGATCTTTCAAACAAGTCAAAAAGACAAAAGTGAACAGAATTCAAACCTGAACTCTGTTAACACTTTCACATTGGGTAGGTCAAAGTGTACATGTCATAGTCTTTCACAGTTACATTCATATTATTATGTGTTCTTTAGAGCATTATTTAATTAAATAACAAATTATTTATTGCAGTAGTACCATTATTATATAAAAAAGTAGGATTAAGTGTCATTGACAGTTGATAGCAAAAAGAAGAAAACCCAGGTAAATACTTAATTTTATGTTTTTCATGTGTATTCTAAAATAAGGTTAGATTAGATTAGGCAAAATAAAGAATAACAATTTTTCATGAGGTACACTCACAAGCATCTTTTGAGTAGCCCATGTGTTATGTTATTCAATAATGTAACATGTCCTGTACATTCACCAAGTTACTTCAAATTTTATGGCAGCAATATTACTTTAAACATGGTTCAAAGGGCAATAAAAAACAATAAAATTTAAGCATAAACAGATGTATACTGTTACAATATTTAGGCTATTTAGGATAAACAAATCAAGTTTCATCTTACAATTTGAAGTCATTCTAGAAAGAAAAATGGGTAATTAAAAATTTTTTTTTGGATTGTTATGAGGTTGATCAGAGTTAGGGTAGTGAAAATGACATAAAATAACATTTTTCTTGAAAAAAAAACATTTGTTATTTATTTAGGAGATTTTAGGGATTATGCAAATGAAAGTTAACATTTTCCTAAACTGAAAATGTATTTCCTATAATACTTACCTCAGCTGACACTATAGCTATTTCTCGATCTCCAGGGTTTGCACTCTTTGCCCATATTAACAATGAAAATGCTTGCTACAGTCTTTTATACCCCACTCGAATGCCCTTGGCAAATTCTAATTTCCAAAATTCTCCACCAACTTCAATGCGCCCTCTATCTGGGCGCTGTATATATAAGCATCTCATTCAGATAATGTAATCACTTTTTTAAAACATAAACCGACTTTTAGTTGGGAGGTAAAGAGGGAGAGTGTCAGCGAAGGAAAGTATTATTGAAAATACGTTTTCAGTTTAGGAAAATTATAGCTTCCAAAACATACTTACCTCCACTGACACTATAGCTAGAATCCCACACTGAGAAGGTGGAGGAGCTGGTGCAGGCATGAACCATACAGAAAGCATCTGTATAAAACAGAAATGTACCAATAGAAAGATGGAACAAGAGTGGGGAAACTGCATTACTTCCAGAATATGTATTCTCTTCACCAGGAACTCAGTTTCTATATCAAAGGTGGAATAGAATACAAATAATCATCACTACAGGCCAAGCCCCAACCAGATAGCCAAGATTCCACAACTTGGGGTTGAAACTAAGGGGTCATGGTACCCATATCCCACATTGGTGGCTAGAGCTATTGGACCACAATGCTATATATACATTTGATTGGATCCCAAACTGTAGCCATAAAATGATGCATTTCGCACTACCAGAATCACAACAAGAAAATAACCAACACTGAAGTGGTCAAACTTTCTCCTCCACCTGAAGAAGTCCAAAAGGCAACACCCCAGGCTCGGAATGCCAGGATCATATATGCTGTACTCAACCAAAGGAACAGAACTTATCTGGTCTAGAATTATGAACATTTATCCTCACTCCCCAACCAAGTGGGCAAGGAGTATTCCAATTGCCATTGGAATTATGGAGAGGATGTGGAACCTGTGCTCAACCAAGGACCTATGATGGGACCACATCGTGTTTAGTATTATGAGGAGATAGTGGACCTCCTTCCATGAACAGTATACAAAACCAATATTGATCAAAGAGAAGTCCCATGCACCCCCAAACCGGATAGTTTTGTGTCAGATCTGACCCGAATTACGAGTAGGCTCCCATGGAGGTAGGTGCCACTCCTACCGGCATCTGGGGAAAGCATCCAGGGGCCTGAGTAGGAGGGCCCCCAATTTTTGCCCCTTCTCCAAGAGTGCAGGAACACACTTGAACACTGGAAGAAAAGCCTCTGTCCACCACCCCAGCGACTGGAAATTGGGAGTGGTAAGGGCTCCCGAGCTCCACTATTAGTGTCTGTGGGAAGGGGGGGGGAGGTAATAAACATTGAGGAGTCCTGAGGAACAGTGCTCTGGAAACTGTACAATAGATGAACCAAGTTCCCTACATATTTAAAAGCAAATCAACCTTGATTTATTCAATCTGGAGATCGGCAAGGACGGACAAGATCCCCTTTAGCTTTACTGATGATAGTCCATGAGTGGTGGTCCATAATAATAAAGTAATACCATCCAGTAGGCACCTAGATAGTCTTATGGAACACCCCATTTTGACAGAGCCTGTAGCAACCTGTAGTAATTATAGTGAAAGAGGTTGCTAGTGCAGAAATGAAAAGAGAAAGCATACCTGCCTGGGCAACACTCACCACAGAGTAAAGATACAATAAGTACTTTCAGAGTTATAATATGTATACCACCATGGTGACATGGTGGTTTCAAGGTTCTGTAAAATACAGCTGCCCATCCTAATAGGGTTAACATACAGACAGTCTGAAACACTGAGCAATGCCAACAGTCACAACAGTCATGACTACAAAAAACTTACAGCCCTCACAATACTGGAAGGTGTTAACACTTTAGTTGGACTATAAAATTCTTTAGTTAAAAGATACAATCTAATGGAAAAATACCAAAAATAGTGAATATACCTTGGTGTTTTTAATGAATTTTGGTAAACATTTAGTATTTTAAGTTTAATTATTACACAAGAATAAAAAACATCTAAACTACTACTTTTGGCACCATATCAAAATAATAGCATTATTTTGTGTTGGTTATCTTTCTTAAACATTTGCCAAAAGATACAGAAACTTTCCTAAAAAAGTGTAGTTGAAAATGAAACAAGTTCTGGTTGAACCAACAACTGTCAAACTCAGAAAATATTAACAACTGATCTCCAAATGAAAAAACAAAGTGTTAAATGGTTTCAAGTTTGCATTGAAATTTTTTTATTAATTTGTTGATTTCAATTGCATGGCAATACTTTGAAATATCAGAGTAAAAGAGCAATCTTTCAAATAATGCTTATTCAGACTAAATTAATGTAATAAGATACAAAACTGTTTTAAGAACAACCACAATCAATGCCTGGACATTTTTGGTATTCTAAAGAGCAAATATATCAAGAAATCAACATCTTTATGAAGCAGAAGTTAAGGATATTGAACAAATACTTAGAAGAAGCTGTTCTCCATTGTTATTCCTAAGTAGAATGATCCACACCAAAACTGAAAAGCTAAACATCTCATCAGTTGTTATGTTAGTTGTGCTGAACAAATTTCACTTTCGTCATACCCTAATTAGGCATTATTTCATACATGGTTAAGAAGAATATCAAAAACACTATCAGACACTTATATCTGCAAATTCAGTTAAAATGCATCTTTAAAACAGTCTAGGTTAAAAGTAATCTTCAACCTTAAAGACAAACAAAACAACATCCAATGAATCCCACACAACTGGTATACGAGTTCAACCAGGGAGAAATCTGGTCACCTACTAAAAAACTCTGCAGTGAAGTAAAACAGCACTGTAACACTACAACTTGTGATCTCAATACTATTACTCATGTCCAAACTACTGTGATGTTGTGCCTATCTCCAGTTTCTTCTGCATCATTCTCTATTCCTCGAAAGAATTCCACCTTACAATGCTAGAATATTTTGCCATGAAGCTAAGAAACCCAGCTATTAACCATAAGATAAGTGCACTACCACTACATCTTCAATTGTAAAGGAAAGAAAAAATCATGAATTTCAATCATTGAATATAAAGTGGACATAAAACCCATTTAATATTCATTAAACTGTCAAACTAGCAACATGCACTCTCAGGTTTTCCAGTTTTATTATTTTTCAAAAAGCTGAAGATGAGATGTCTAGTACCTACTAATCTGAAGTTATCTACAGAAATGTCATTTCAACAATACACATAAAATTTATAAACATGATCAGGAACAACAAACACATTTCATAGTTGGAATAAAGCTAATATATATATATATATATATAACTTGCTTACCACAGCTAAAAAGTAATTTACTACATGAAGACCTGTATCATTTCCAGGACACATCAAACATTTACTTGATCTTTACAAGAGGTTTGCAGATCTAGTATT